CTTCAACATCGTGACGCGCACGGACATGTGCCATTTTGTCATAGTGCTACTGACTGCTTGTGGCAGTAAAGAAGTTCCATGCTACAGTAATTTGTGAAGCGGGGGTGGCGGTGGTTTGTTCGCTGTGAACTTCAGAAAAGATCCCCGCTATGGCTCAGGACAACGAGGATAACGAACTCGACGCGGTCAACGGCGGTCGCCGAGTCACCGGTGTAGGCCTAACTCACGTACGAGCCCGTCGGTTGCCGACAACGTTACTGAGAACGGCTGTGTTTTGAAGCCTCATCAGTTAGAGGACGGCAAGTAGAAAGCAGAAGTGAAGCTGCCAGAGATATCAATCTTTGTAGTGACGGAACAGAAGTGCAGTCTTATCGCTAAACCCGCGGATGTTGTGGTCCCCCCCCCGCCTGACGAAAGGACCTTGAACTGCGCGACGGGTCGTCAGAGTGGAGTACGCCGCGCGTCGACCAACAACAGAAAGTCAATTCGTTCGCAGTGAACATGCTCGCGGCCCTCGCAATGGAGGCTACTGGCAACAGGTAGACTGCTTTTAACGACGTGTTCGCAACGTTGTCACGATCTCCGCTCGAAAATGCTGCAGTCTTATGTGAAAAGGAAACTTAACACCTCGGCACTCGTGTAGCCTCGAAATTGATGAGCGAGGGAAGCAACTTCGGTTCGCGACACTTACGGGTAACTTATTCTGGACAAGCCGGAAAACATCGCCGCATTATTCGACGGATTGTGGATGACGCACGCACATTTGTCGCACATCGCCATCAGTACAGTCACCGAACTGATAAGAGGCCTCGCGGCAGACGAGCACACGGCGACAACTTGCTACAGGACTAGAAGAAACGACACGCTCGTACCAACAATCGGTCCTATTACATTCCTGGGGCATATTAACCGACTAAAAGTATGTGTGCCATGATATTTTTTCCTCGGAACGGCGAAATTAAGTTTTAACAGCATTATTCTCGAAGCACAGATTTTGACCACTTTCTTTTGTTTGTTCGGTAAAAGTGGACCTAGGATAGCTAGAGCTGTAATTGTTTTTGCACAATCTAGCTAAATGTGCACAAGAAACAATGCTTGGAGCCTATTTTTAATGGGCAGCTTCATTTTTTTAATTTTAATATAAAGATTTCTGTATTTGGTTACATGCAATGAACTTTACTGTGCTGCAATTCAAGAAGTACTCGTTCAATTTTCGATCAGCTTGCAGCATTGCACTCCTTAGGCTTTCTAGTATTCATTTATATGTCAATGACTATGTAATTATAAGTGCATACATTTTTACAGTTAAAAATGTTAGAATTCTTTGTTTTCTTCATTTTCTCAAAATGGCAATTTAGTACACCCTGCATGAAAATTACTGCAATATATCTGAAACTATTACAGATAGCAGAATATTTTATTTTGCAGCATGAAGCTATATGTTTGGAGCACACAACATAGGAAGCAGATTTTGATTTCTCTTGATGCAAGTTTTTCGAACTAGTCTTTTGTGTGACCACACAATGGCCACATTCAGGGGTGTGAAGTTTAGTGTACTGTAAAGTAAGAAATAATGACCCATTCAAAAAAGTGCTTCTTATGTTGCTTGTCTTATGCTTTCTACTGTCAATCCCTATGTTATTTATACATTTTTTACAGGTGGTTATTTTTCTATTACGGTAAAAACAATAGAAATTGTTATCTTGATTATTTAACTAATGAAGCTACAGAAAAAATAACTACATTTTTAGAGTCCGGAGAACAAACTAAGTAAGCATGCCAACTTTTGTCACACTTGGTTCAAAAATAAATGAGAGCCCTAACAACCATGTCCCCCCTTAAGGGGGGTCGCGACACCTAGAAGTTGAAAATCGGCCCAAAAATTGCATTTTCTCTCTCATCATTTTTGCGTTCCCAATGCCCTTCTGCATTTATCAGCAGAGTTTAGCTTCGAAATTTCACTTAATTTTTAAGTTATAACCCATAAAGAGAGCAACTTCGCAAAAGCTGACTTTTAAATTGAAGTGTAAACTAGCCGTACTTCAACCGCCGACGGCACGCGAACTACACTCCACGAGCGCCATTTTGGTCTTGTTGTAAAGGTCGCACTTCTAGCTTTCTTTCTTTTCAGTAGACAACTATGTTCTCCTCGCAAAAGAAAAACGAAAACGTAGTCAAAAACGTGCAGCACGTGATTCTATTGGTTGCTTGACACACGTAACCAAAATGGCACTTCCCGACGGGCCAGGAAAATTCGCTGGCAGTGTCCGCCACCATTTTGAAAGGGTATCGCCCTTGCAAAGGTGCCTTGACTCGTATCCCTGACGTGCTTGCCCATCTCGTACGCCTGGCGGTGCAAAAAAGTTCAGATCGCAGCATCGTTTTCGCTGTTCACTGAAGAACGGCAGAAAATGATGCTGCGATCTGAACTTTTTCGCACCGCCGGGCGTAACGGGACGCGCAAGCACATCAGGGATACGAGTGAATCGCAGCATCATTTTTCTCGTTCATGGAAGAACGGCAGAAAGCCCAATGGTGATACTACTGTGTCGCGGGAGCAAGTGCCGACATTGTTTGATAACGCCGTCTTGATAACGCAGTCGTAACCGAAGACTGTTCTTCACGCATGCAGGGTGGACTGTGGCCGCCCGTTTACTGAAAATGTTATCAATGGAGGAGTGTGCAAGATGGCTTCCTCAGATAGCGAACGCTTTGTGAATTATTACCACGCCAATGCTATTTGCAGCGGTTAAGTGCGCATAGACACGAGCCTCCCTGACAGCGCTTGTTACGTCGACTCCGGCCGTTTGCGGGCAGACGTAGATGTGATCAATGCCAGTAAAGTTCGAGACACGCACGACTCGAGACAACCACGATGCTTGAGGGTCTTTTGTCCGTGTTAGAACAGTGCGAAAAGTTGACCGCTTTTCGTAGTCAAGTGGTGCGGCAGCGAGGCAAGATGCCAGCAAAGCAAGACTCGGAATTTACACGAAAGCCTCCAATCCGCGATTTGGAGTTTGTTATCAAAGGAGCAGCAGGCTTCTCTTTTTGCTTTGCAAGCTGCTGCTGCAGAGGCTGTACTGTGCTTCAACACGGGCAATGTCAATAAATTTGGTGCTATTCTAAGCAGCTGGACATCACAATATTTAATAGCACATCCCTGAGGGCAAGGGAGGACTGTCGCCAGAGTTCAACCTCAAACATAAAGAAGCGTCCCAAAGTCAGAGAAAGCTGGCCAAGAAGAAGCATAAGGATGGGATGCATCCAGATTACAGTTGAACCCCGCTACAACTAACGCCGCTACAACGAAAAATTCACGGTTCCCAGTCAGCAGTCCATAGGAGTCGATGCATAAATATTGTCGGCACAACGAACACTTTTTTTTCTGCAATCCCGCTTCGACGAAATTTTCCAATACAATTCCAGGCTCAGATATTTATTGCTATGCAGTAAACCGAATATTTAACATTTTGATTCATTTTCAGAACCTGAAGATACGTTGCCGAAGTCTTAAACACACGTTGACACCACCAGAAACCACCGCTGTTAAGCAACCATAGGCGCCGCCATTGCTCGATAGCGATGGCAATGAGGCTGCCCTGCTTTGCCAAAAGAAGGCAGCTTCATTGCCATCGCTACTGTAAAATGGCGGCGCTCACACTTGCTGAACAGCGGTAGTTTCTGGTGGTGCCAACGCGTACTTTAGACTTCGTCGACGTATTTTTAGTTTCTGAAAATGCATCAAAATGATAAAAATTGGGTTTACCGTATAGCCGCAGACGATCCGAAGCTGAAACTCAGTTGCTCAGTTCATGGTTTCCTTCGTGCAGCTGCTGGGTGCATCTGCGGAAGGATGCCTTTTTCGATTCCAATGCTTATAATTTTGTTCACGCAGGGCGAATGTGGTAACTAATGAAAGCAGCTGTTTGTCCGCATTATCAACAAAATCAGCTAGCCACAAGTGATGGATGATAAGAATGGCATAAAATAAGGCAAAAGTCACTGCTTCACGATACCCTGCTGCCATTTCGGCGTTTCGACAGTGGACAGCTGCTGGTGTTATTGTGTTAATGCAGCTGTTTGGTTCGGTCACAAAAGTGGTTATAGTCACTGTTCCAGCGTGCTTTTCACCATGACCTCGATATGCATGGGTGAGAATCGCGTTGTGACGCTGCTGGGAGGGAATAAAAAGAAGCAGACACTTTTTGAATTTTGAGAATAAACGTTTCTTTGTTTTGCTAGTCTAGATGGCTATATTTTTTCGATTTCACTACAACGAAATTTTCGCTTTAACAAAAGTTTTTCCGCGCCCCTTTCGTTTCGTTGTAGCGGGGTTCGACTGTATACCCCTGGTGCATTTTCATAAGATTTTATAATTATTTTTCAATAAAGGTGTATCGAAAAGTTTTTCCTACTATTCTCAAAACATCAATTTTGGCACATTTGCCAAGTTGGAGGGAAAAATAACTTCTGTTCCATTTGTGCTATCAGGATAATTCTCTTTTTGCCAGAAAGATAAATGCATGCAGTATACAATAGGCCTATTTTGAATTTTTTAATTGGGTCACTTGCGTGATTGGTAAAGGTGGCTTTTTTCCTCTGAACATTGATGTCCTCTAACTCTTGTTGAAATCGCCCGAGCAAATTGATTTATAGCATATTGCACTCCTTAAACATCTTACATTGTTTTTACACTGTCACCATTGTTTTGGTGCTTCCTGCTTAGATGCTAATTAGGCTGCAAACAAAGGACCCAGGTTTTACATTGATTGTGAAGTATCTTGGAAACTACTTGACCTATCAAAAAAGTAATTACATATTTAGAATCTACACATCCGAATACACAACCTGTGAAAATTTTGTTCAGATCTATACATAAATTAAAAAGTTGCCCATCAAGTGTAGCCTCCCCCCTTAAATGTACACTGCTTCTCAATGAACTGCTTGAAATTTCAAATATAAGTCGACCTATGCTCATGCTTTCCTTCTTTGCTTCCCAGGACCTGGCCTTGCCGTTAGGGTATTATGTGGGGACGAGCCCTACATGGAGAAGGATTTCTCTGAAACTAGTGTCTTGGTCAAGATCATCATCGACTACTCGAATTCTCTAAAAAAGGTGGGTTCATGCCGTCCAAGTACAGTCGAACCCCTTTAAAGGAGACACGCATCAGGGAGCAGTTCTTGTCTTTTATATGAGGTGCGTCTCGTAAGCAGGGTACCACACATTGTCTTTGATCAACTCGTATTGCAGTGCTCGCACACTGGTGTCTCCGACACCCCTTTGTCTCTTACGTGTCTTTTTGCATAGGTGTTCTACTGTAGTTAGTTTTGTTTAGCATTTTTTGCTTGACTAGTCTACCTTTGCTTCTCTTGAACCAGCAGTTTTTGCTTTCAACTTCAGTTGCATTTCCTAAAAATATTGAAAGGGTTTACTTGTGCAGTTTTTGAATGTTTTGTAATACAAAAATTCGTCAGTATTTGAATTTTAGTGACTGTCTTTAGTGGTATTTCGCCCTGGCAGATTGCAGTTATTTATACTATTCGATTGCAAGGTTTTTGCATTTTCAAACTTTCCTCTTGTGTTCTTTTACTTCCGAAGAAGCACTCCCTCATCAACAGAGTTCAAAATGGTGCATCCGAAGAGGAGTGCGAGTTTCTCAGTCGCGTTTCGACGCAGTACAAGCTTGTATCCACCCTGCTGCCCATAAAGAGTGTTGGTGTACAGGTATGTGAGAGTTTGATCATTTAACCATTTGATCTAATTTTTTGTGGGTACATGCTTACAGTTGAGCACTTTTGACAGTTACGATGTTTGCATCCAGGGCAGAGGGGGAGCAGTGCTGTGCAACTTGTGCCAGTCTGCACTGAACTGTCCTTGTCGCACCAAACGCTACCAAAATGGCATTTTAGTGCAGTGGAACCACGATCTTGCATTTCGGTAGTGAGACTACCGGCATTTTACGACCAGTCTACTTGGTCCTGTAAAAAATATCGCCACAATAAAGTATTAAAAACATTGACCATAGGATGCGATTTCATGGTGACCCTACCATACAAATGCCTCTCTGAGACTCCCCAAAAGAAAAAATACTATCTTGAATTTGTCGAACATGGGTTCAAAATGAAAGTTCACCTTGATGTGATGATTGCAGCTTTTTAATACCAAACTTAAGTGCTTGTAGTTGACAGAAAAAAAGGGGCGCGATAGAGAGATAAGTACAATTTGTCATTATAGAATGGCAAATTTACCTTCATGGCAGTTCATTTCCTGTTTTAAAATCTCTTCTTGGCCTTCCACAAATGCATGTGTATTTGAGAGCTGTTATTTAGATAAGATTGATATGCACGGAGTTGATATACAAGATTGATATACATGGAGTTGATATACAAGATATACACAAAGTTGCTTGTAATTGTCAGTAGGTAGTCCTTCACAGCTGGATATTTTTCAGTTTTCAGCCTGTAAGAACATTTTCTGGTCTCTGTGCTACTGAAGATCTTTTTTTGTTTGCCCTGCGCATGGTTGCAGTCCTTGAGCAAGCGAAAGAGACATGTTGCAGCTGTCGTCAGTGTGAGAAGTAGCTTTGCCTAGACATCAGTTTTCATGATGAAAGTGGTGCATCGTTGATTGCTCTTCATTGGAGACCGATACAATGCACGAAGGTCATAGTCGCACCCAAAACGATCCTGTGAGAGCGTGTCAGTCATGAATTTACGTGGCAGCTGAAAAATCTCCACCTGAAGTTACCTACATGCTGAAGATGAAAGCCTGAAATTGAACGTGACACTCATAAATGAACAAAAAACATGGGTGTCCAGTGAACACAAACAGCATTGGATTGGGGCAAATACATTTTGTTCAGTTCAAGTACTTGATCTCGGAGGTGCCTCAGGACGACAGACAATTTTTTCATCTGAGGTTTGAAATCTTAAGCCGAAAGGAGGAGCGTCCTTCTTTAGGTTCCTGCGTGATAATTTCGAGCTTGCAAGCAACAGGCAAGTGGCCGTTACTCGACTGGACAGGCTTGTCAACCGTCTCAACTCCAGAAAAGGACTGCTCGAAACGTATGACCGTACCATAAGGGAGTACTTGAGGGCAGGACACGCCGAAGTAGTCAGTGACGTAACTGCAGAGGTGACGAAAATGACGACTTGTGCACACCCAAAGTCTCTAAGCCTCGGATATTCACGAGAACTTGGTCGTACAAGCTGCGTAGCGCTTTGGTGTCAGTCGATGAACGGACAGGGCTTAACATCCGTAGCTTGGCAAAATATTCTTGCTCCAGGCGCGTCTTGTCCCCAAATCGCTTCTGTAGCATTTTGATGGCGTCACTGTAGCAACTTTCTGTCGTCGGAAGGCCCGCAATTACTGATGCAGCGTCTCCTTTAAGATACAGTCGCAGGTAATGAAACTTCTCCGTGGCAGTGATGCGATTGTTACTATGAACAATTTGGTAAAATTGTTCCCAAAATTCGGGCCACTTGCATAGGTTTCCAAAAAAAGGAGCTATTGTCAGTTTAGGCAATTTAACTCCAGTTCCATCTGATGGTGCTACGACTGTCTGGGAAACTGTTTCTTGAATTCCGGTCGATGTCCTTAGCATGCGATCTTTCTTGCTCAGAATCTCAGCGAGAATGCGCGTAGCAACGTCCTCGTATTGTAAGACAGCGTTATACTCGACCTCGAACTCCTCGTCAGGTATATGCGGCTCAATCTCGTTGTTAAAGTTTTTAAGCTCTTCGTTATTAGCCTTCAGCCTCTCATATATGGAGTTGAGCTGGTCATAGGAGGCAGAGTCGTTAGCGAGGAGCTCACTTGCCTCGTTTATAATCCTCGTGTTCTGTGCTCGCCGCGACGTCCGCTTCGACTTCAGTCGCTCCATGCCGCTGCAGTTGACTGGTAGCCGTCCGTAGGGTCCTGGTTTTCAATCCCGGGTTTCGGCACCAATGTTTAGACGATGGCGTTCCAGACACTGCGATCAGACTCAACTCCGTCTTTTAGGTATAAGGCAAAAATACTTGTTTATTTAACTGCGTTCGGAAGCGCTCTGCTGTCACTTGAGCGTCCCCGCGTCCCTCGCTTGCGCTCTTCTTCTTCTTCGTTTCCTTGTCCCAGCCCAGAACGTGAAAAATAATCAACAGTGTTATGGTTAGTGCACTGCACTAAATCATTACCTACCGTGACGTGTAAGCGCTTACTAATTTGTGGAATGCTTTTCATTAAAAAATGCATGCAGGTATTTGTTTTCTGTTTGTGTACAATGATGTCATACAGCGCTGTATGACTCCTGTAAAACTTTTCGATGTTGCCAGTTATACCAGAGGAATGTGCAAGTGTGTGTGTGTGTGTGTGTGTGTGTGTGTGTGTGTGTGTGTTGTGTGTGTGTGTGTGTGTAACTAAGGGACAAAATGCCGCTGTCGTGTTAGTTTGTGCCCACTTGCCTCTCTTATATGCTTTTTTGAATGACATTTATGTGCGACAGTAAAGTCAAATTCATACCATGCCCCTTTCCTGACCCTCTCATTATGTCTTAGTTGACAACAGCATAGAAACTAAAATTCTTGTTTGTACAACACTTCACCTGCATGAAAACCGTTTATGAAAGAGCAGCAGTACCATTGGCAGTATTGTAATATTGGGTTATTAGGAACCTTCGGCTGCCATGATTGTCAAAAATTTGCACAGCCCTTTAAGCAATGATAGGACAGGTCCAATGGAGTGAAGGCATAGGGTGTCTCCCTTAGATGATTCGGGGTGCCCCCTTTGCAGGCACTTAGGCTTAAGGAGAACTAATGTTTTACTGGGCACATTGGTTCATTCTGGAATAGATTGGAGTGCTAAAGGACGAGACAGTAAAAAAGACAACAAAAGCGTGCATGAAGTCGTATTGTCTTTTTGCGTCTTGTCTTAGTGCTCAAATCTGTTTCGGAGAACTTTGTTTCGCTTTCGAGTATACGACCGGAACGCATTGAAGTGTTCAGTCAATTGTACCCCAAATGCAGAAAGTTTTGTAAAAAGAACTAGAAAAAAGGGGGAAACTTTTATAGAGATATTGAAGGAGGAGGAATCATTGAATAAAAATTGTCGCTGAAGCCAAAGTTTGAATGAGAGAACTTGTCTTAACTAGTCTTCTTGTTGAAACGTTGCCTACACTGACAGTCCTTGCTCATCAACTAGTCATTTGTAGTGTGCATTGGAGTGCTAGAACAAAAAATCATTTAAGCTACGATTACCAGTTGAACTTGCCCAACTGATCGTTTACCTCATTTCATTGGTTGTCAGCATGCCAAATTGTTTCTGCTTTTGTTGTGCCTTGTCGCAGGGTGACCGACGAACGTACAGCTACGTGGTGGGCCTCTCATCAGCCGAGGAACCCAGCGACTGGGAGGACATGATGTGCCTCGCTAAGCTCATCCCCAAGATATGTCACAACATCAACAGGTACCGTGCTCATGTCGCATACTTAACGAGACACAAGATAAGGCAACTACAGAAGTTAACAACTACACCAGAACACCCATACGTGGCTGGATCTTTCAGGCTAGTTGGCTGAAACGTCTACTTGCTAATGCTAGGGGTTCCCTGAAAGCTAGCAAGGTGGCTTGTTGCTTGCTTGCTCATGGTTCTCATTAAGGGGACCCTGAAACGACTTTAGGCATTTTGTACAAACACATAGGACGTGTTGACCAAGTCCCAAGGGTTTTTTTTATGGTATGTATGGTGGCTAAAAGAGGAGGTGTCAGCAACAGCTGTCAGCGATGCAGAATTTTTTCGTGGCACTTCGCCGACGGCATCATGGTTTCACTGGTAACCGCATCTGCCCCTGTTGGCGAGATCGGCAATTTGTGGCGGTGTACAGCACAAATGGGTATGACAGTGCATATGGCTCGCGGAGAAACGTGACATGCGGTTATCGCTCACTAACAATGTGACACACGTTTATCTGTGACGAGAAACTCTGCCTGCATCTCTCACTCACAAAAAAGGTGGCGTTTATCGCTGGAAAAAGACGTAACATGCATTTCTTACTTTAAAGGACAGCATGCCCTAAAAGCACTTGCTGACTAGGCATTTCAAAAATTCAGATTTCCGCGAAGCACCATGGGTGCTTCGCGGAAAAGCTGCAAATGCTGTGCTGTGGAAAAGCTGCAAGTGCTGTGTAGGCTAGCAACACTTCGCGAGGAACTAAACCACATGACCAGTCATATGCGCTCCACGCATGCACCCACAAGCGTCTTCACGCGTTGTTGCGCTCGCCTGTTCGCCATTTCTACCATTTGTGCGTTCCGCCTTGCTTGCTAACAGTGGTGTGCGCAATTTGCGAAGCTGCTCAAGGGATGCCAAGATGCCACCACTACACCGGCAACAGTACAGGGCTGCTTTCAAACGGCAAGTGATCCTCTATGCAGAGTGGGAACGCAACATTGAAGCAGGGCAGAAGTTCGACGTGTCTGAAAGTGCGTGAGGGAATGGAGAAAATGGAGGACTAAGGTCTTCGCGTGCACTGCGAGACGCCGTTCCTTTCGCGGACCAAAATCTGGACGATAACCTGTCATTGAGGAGGCGGTTTGAAATTACCTTCACGATTAGAGAAGCAAAAGCAGAGTGCTTTCAACGTTGATCTTGAAACAAAAGCACAAACTGTCACAAAGGATTTGTGCATCCCGCTGACAGCTCAAACTAAGTTGTTTGAGTGAAGTGGTGTAATGGGTTAGTGATGATGGGTTAATGGGTATGAACTGCCAACCGGCATGATCCGCGTGGCGTTTTCCATGTGCGGCATCTCAGTACCACTAGCAACCCTTCCGGCGGCAAGCAGCTGTAGTGGCTTACACGGCGGCAATGACCATGACTGCTGCATCCTTCTCTCAAGCGACGACGAGTCGAAAGTGATGTTTCACGGTGAAATAAATGTTTCTTTGCATCACTCCTTTTTTCGAAAGACTCATTGGTGCGCTATGACCACAGCATGAGGCTGTGTTCAAAGTAAATTTTGTTTTTGCTTAGGAGGGGTTGCAAGGTGGGGGGTCAACTTGCAATCGGCAATATTTGGTAGATTACATACACGTGCATCTTTGTTTTGAAATCGCAAAAATTTGGTGTTTATTAGAATGAAGAAAATATTGTGTCTGAATAAAAGGTTGCCATCAAAGTTTACTATAGTGTTAGCAACTGGCTAAGAATGCCCTATTCTAACATTAGAATTCTCACACTGTAACCTGGGCTATTCCCTGTTCTACAATTGCACAGGGTGGTTTACATCTTTGGCGGCCCCGTGGCATTTCCGGTCCAAGACGTGACGCCGACGTTCTTGACGCCTCTGGTGCTGAGCACACTACGGCAGTGCGACTTTGTGGCGCAGCGGGCGCTGCGAGCGTCGGGCTACCAGCCAGCGCTGTCGCAGATGCCGGTGATTCTGTTGCCGCTCCACCTCGACCGCGATGTCGTTAGTCGGCAGCCGTCGTGCCAGCACTCGATCGTCATCAGGACGTTCATCACTCAGGACTTCATGACCGGCATCCCCGCCACGCCCAACAAGCACCTACCCCTAGATGTGAGTGTGCTCTTTTGTTCTTGCTTTGTGCTTTGAATGGCAATGCTCTTCTTTTAGGTGATTTATAATTTTTGCTTTGGCTGAAAAGGTTGTTGCCATAGTGGTATTTATTTTTTTATTTATTCATTTATTCAAAATACCCTGCAGGCACAACAGGGCATTGCATAAGGGGAGCTTTAAAAGAATATGTACATGGCTATGAATTAAAACTTAGATTGAAAAAAATAGCATCGGAGAAAAAATTGTTGTAAAATATGCAATGCCTAACAGTGACAACGATAAAAATAAAAGAACCAACACAGCAGCAATGAAACTCAGATAATGACACATGCAAGATATTGACTGTAAAACAGGCTATAAAAAGGTAAGCACAATTTCTAAAGAGATGCTGGATTATTAAAGTCAAAAGCAAAAACAATTGCTCAAGAATACACATCTAATTGAAGGGCATGTTAGCATTCCAACCTTCTAAAATTACTAAATAAGAGAAGAGAAATGAATCAATGGTAAAAAAATTAGACAAGAAACTAGCAATCCTTAAACAGGCAAGTACAGAACTTTATGTGAATAAATTGAGCGGTCAATCCTGGAAATGTGTTTTAGAAGCTGCTGGAATGTTTCTTTATTGCATTCATCTACCATGTCATCTGGAAAGCCGTTCCACATGCGGATGATGCGGGGGAGGGCAGATGAGTTAAAAATGTCTGTTCGATCATAGATGAGCGTGAATGAAAAATGATCGTGCAAACTCTTTGATGCGAATACAGATGTTTGCAAAGTTGTACTGTTCTACCTGCTGTTTTACAGGCTGAATCCCTCTGAATTAACGAGCATTTGACACCACTGGAAGTACAATACACAGTGTTGCAGGGACAGCAATGCGAGTTCAAGTTAGCCAAATTTCCTAGTTAAAAAAATCCAAATAAGGGAGGTTTTATGGTATTCTAGAAAATAGGCTGGTACAGCTAAAAGGCTCATGTAAAGCAATGATGTTGGGTTGGCATAGATGAAAAAACTGTCGAATAGGCAAACTCTGGATGCTATCGAGCTCTCCGAGTCAAACACTGAATAATTGATCAGAGTAGAAGCAAGTCTGCACCTACCATGGCGGCCGAGCGAATATGGTGCGTGACTGCTCACCCAAAGGCCGTAAGAATGAATCACAGCCCCTATGACCACATTTAGATAGAGGTGACATGCTAGAGGTCCGTGTGCTTCAATTTAGGTGCATGTTAAGGGGAGACGCGGGTCGAAAAGTCGCGTTTTTTTTCCAAATTTCACCTTTTCTGTTTTTTGTTGCTTTATCATCTTTATACATTATATTTTGACATCTGAAAATATCACAGCGAAATAAGCATCAGAAGTCAGTGAAAAACGCGTCTGAGTGAGCGGCAGTGACGCGCGGCATCACGAAATTTACACAAAACGGGCTGCTGTTCGCGTGCTCGCGGGGCCGCGAAGAGAGCTGTCCGCCATATTGCGGCCGCTGGCTCGTGTAGAGTTGTCCTTACTCTCCACGATCCCGGTTCTTGAAGTCTCGTACGTTCACGAAAAATCTAAAAAAAAAGCAACAAAAACAGTCTTTTCCCGCCGTTTCAAACCGCGCGCCACTAACGCAGGGCCGCCATTGGCTGACAGCACCCGTGTTTTCTTGCCGTAGTTCGCTTCACTGTTTTCCGGAGTTATTTTTCGCTGTTTTCGTGCGATGGCAAGCCCGAAAAAGGCCGTTGCCGACCATCGGAAATACAGAAGTAAGAACAAGTTCAGAGGGAAGCGGCGGAGGACGTACAAGAAAGCCACCGCCAACGAAAATGTCCGCGACGGGCCAGCGGCCGGTAGGCCAAACATCGACCACGGCAACGTCGACCATGGCAACTGCGACGACGAGATCAACGCTGCAGTGAATTTTGTGAGTGCATCGCAGAAAAAGATCGCGTTATTCGAAAACGACGTCAGGCCGAATGCCGATCGTGCCGAAAGCGTAGTGCTGTGCGAGTTGGGTGCATTGACGGCCGTCGTCGCAGGCGCGGCATGCCCCGTTTGTCACGAGAGTAAACTCGCAGTTCGGGCACCGAATAAAAAGCGGAAAGGCCTTTCGGCGTTTCTGGAGCTACACTGCGAGAATGCGGAGTGCTCGGAGAGCATCCTTTCGTCCGCGTACTCGTCGAAGCGGGTCGCGTCAGATGGCGGCCGCGGTGCAAGCAGAAGCTACGACAGCGGGAGTTCGCGTGACGCCTTTGCCGTGAACCTGAAAGTGGTGCTTGCAGCGCGTGCCGTCGGTATCGGGCATGAGCAACTTTCACGATTTTGTGCAGTAGTTGGATTGCCAAACCCTATGCACCATAAGACCTTCCATGCTATCGGCAAAAAGATTCACAGTGCGGCAGTGAAGGCTGTCTGTGAAAACATGCAAAGGGCACGCAGCGTCACCAAAGAGGTGGCTGGTAACAGTGACGTGCCAGTCATGTTTGACGGCACATGGCAAAAAAGAGGCCACAAAAGCCACAATGGTGTGGGAACTGTAGTGTCCTTGGACACTGGTTTGTGCCTGGACTATGAAGTGCTTTCCAACTTCTGCCTGGCGTGCAGTTTGCATAACGACATGGGAGGCGATGAAGAAACATGGCAGGCGTTTCATCATCCCGTTTGTGAGAAGAATTGCGACTGTTCTTCGCATGCCATGGAGGCCGAAGCTGCAGTGCGCATTTGGCAGAGGACTGTGGACTATGAGACACCCCTGCGGTTCACCATCTTCCTAAGCGATGGAGACAGCAAGGCCTACAACGGGGTCTGTGATGCCAACGTGTACCCTGACACTCCAATTGAAAAAGAGGAGTGCACCAACCACGTGGCGAAACGTCTGGGCACCGGCCTGCGGAAGCTGCCAACGCCACTTCCACGAGGGGAGAAGCTGAAGGAGACCACCATCCAGAAGCTTCAAACTTACTTTCAGGTGGCCATTGTGAACAATCGGGGAAATGTCCACAAGATGTACACTGCCATATGGGCCTCATGTTTGCACTCGTGCTCAACAGACGGTGCTGGAAGTCACAAGTTCTGTCCTGCAGGCCCAGACTCGTGGTGCAAGCACCGACGTGCTGAGGCGCAGGGCCAGCCTGCACCGTGCCACACCCCCCTCCTGACCAAGGCCCAGGGTTGGCAGTCCTCCCAATCTACAAGCGTCTCACAGATGCGAAGCTGCTTGCCCGGTGCCTCCACGGCAAGACACAGAACGCGGCCGAGTCCCTGAACAGCAAAATATGGCTGCTGTGTCCAAAGACCCGGTTTGCTTCCCGGACTGCTGTGGAAACAGCCACAGCCATTGCAGTCCTGTGGTTCAACCGGGGCCACGCGAGCTTTGAAAAGGTGCTGGAAGAGCTTGGGGTGCTTCCTTCGGAGGCCCTGGTTACCCTCAGCGACCGCCGAGACAGCATGCGCATGCACAAGATGAATGTGCGTCAAACCGCTGAGGCGAGGGCACACCGTCGCAGTGCAGCCAAGAGGGCCCGGGTGGAGGAGTCCTGCCGCACCAGCCGGGAAGGGAAAACCTACGGTGCTGGAGAGTTTTAGACAACTGATATTCCCTCTGGACATGTGTGTATGTGTTCAGCACAAGTTTCGTGCTACTGCGTTTTTCATTTTTGTAAATACAGACTTTCAAACTTTCAAACGCGTTTTTCTCATTTCGCAATTTTGGCCAATTTGCATTTTTTGCGGGAAGCGTTTCGGGCACTTAGAATGGTCATACGACGACGAAATTTGGCACACACATTGAGGAGAGTGCGTAGGGTGCCGATATCTACTTGAATCAGCACAACCTATCAGCTGTAAATATCTATTAATAAATTTAATGGTGGTCGAGTGGAAAAAAAAAGGGTAGTTTGCTACACAGATGTTTTTTTCATAGTTTCAAAGTTGGAGCACAATTTCTAGCTAGATATCGGCACTCTATGGCTAATAGGGAGCAAAAGGAGCCATTGAACAACTCTCTGCATGAACATTTAGTATGCGCGAAAGTTCCCGGAAAACTTATCAAGTTTCACCATTACTTGAAACACAACTCCCAAACTATTGCACTTATGTAAAAACTGATTACAGATTTGGAATCAGGAGGAAAAACTGCATCAGTGGTCCAATTTCTGAAGCTCTAAGTTGAATAACAAAAAAAAAGTGCTTTCGAGGAGCGTCTCCCCTTAACGAGCACTTGTTGGTCGAAAATTCCACAGCCCCATCACTATGGCAGCACTCATAATCACATTGTAGATTTGGGATGTAAAACTGGTATATTTATTATTAGAAGCAAGTTGGCTGTAGGTGGACATTCAATAATGCATGCAAGTCTTGAACCATACGTTCCAGTGACCTTATTTCCAGAACCTTATAGTAGTTCAAAGGCTAGTGGCACATGACATAAAACATGCATGGACAAACAAGCACACTCACTAAATGGACATGGTGCTTACTATTGTAAAGTTGAATGCATTGCAGTGTTGTTCACTGCTGAGGCACTGCTGAGGCACTGCTGTTTCATTTGAAGGAAAAATGTAGAATAAATTTATAACAGACATAGTCCATAGCGGCTTATGCAGTACTAAACTGAATCACTTATGTTAAACCATTTTAATTGTCTTCATTCCAATGTTGTGCAGGTAATCAAGAAGATGGTGGGTGAAATCCAGGCCGTTCCTGGTATCTCCCGCGTCATGTATGACCTCACGCCCAAGCCTCCGGGAACGACAGAGTGGGAGTAGACACACACTGTGCGCTTTTGATGGCATTGGCTCCATTGTGCTCTGCCCTTGCAGCTCAGGGCCCACCCGCCTCGACTGTTCAGTTTGTTTTGACTTTTTGCTGTCGCGTTTTTTTTCATGCTGTCCAAGCAGCGTCTGTGTGAGACGGAGTTAATTGCGTTTTAGACTTCTTGAATCGGATCGCTGTTGTTCCATTTGTTAATTTTCTCTTTGTTTTAATACCGAAGGCACTTTTTTACAAGTGGTTTCTTGTTGCCGAAGTGAAGTGTTAAACAGCTCTTCAGTGAGTAAACCTGACATTGTTTTCAAATTTCCCTGTTGCAGCTCCAGTTCTGTTCATTGCCGATTGTCAAATCAATTTCTCGCTTTCTTTCCATTTTATAATGTTAAAAAATGAGAGAAACTGTAAGGCTATGGTTGGCTATGTTTCATCTCATTCAAAGCAGCTTGTAATATCTGCAGCGTTACCATTTGCTCTGAAAGTGCTGCATGGACATTTTCTCTCATGTGAGTCAGTTGCGCTACTGTAAAGTTTTTATGGCTTCATAATGGGGAACTTGAGTGTAGTATGTACTAGCTCTTTTCTTTATGCGTTGCTTTACCATTGTGTCAATGTTGGGCACTAGCGGCCTACAGATTTCTATGACCTTCATCAGTTCTTGCTGAAAACGTAATATATAATAAATCCTTTCTTTAGTTCTGAGGTTCTGTAAAGTGAACTGCTGCCTGACGGAGCACACTGGGGCCTCGAGAAGGCCGTCGAAAGCAGTCTATTGTAGTACAAAAAGTGCAAGGAAGTGATGTGTCTGAGCTGCTGACAAGCCTTTGCTAATAAGTGGCATGTGCAGGACGATTTGGTTAAGCAAGTGGCGCCCAAGAACTGAGCGAGGTGAGCAGTGTCTCTGTAGAATGTTGCTAGGTGAAAGTGATTAAAGAATATGAAATTGCATTGTGACTTTGTGTTCTTTCCTTACCCTTGTCAGCTCTCGTATTGGTATCAGAATCGTGCAGTGAACATGGAAGTTTTTGTGATGAAGGAGGCTTCCACTTCATTATGCCTCTATTGTGTCTGTACGTGCGCTTCAGTTGCGCTTCTGCTGCGCGAGCTGCAGAAGCGCAACCCGCAGAATCAGCTAGGAGTGATTGATTTGTGGGGTTTAACGTCCCAAGAATCAGCTCGGAGATGAAAGCACATTAACCCACAAGTTAATGTGCTGTGGCTCGCTAGTGCAAGCCGCTGGTTTCTAGCTAATTTTGCCGGCACGTTCTCGAACAAGAGCGGCGTGCGAGTGCACTGCAGTCCTCTTGCGTTCTTTGATGGGGTTACCTTCCACTGAATGGCCACAAAATGTTCAGGTTTACATTTCTGGTAAAAGTACACTTATACCCCTGTAACACGACCACCACCTAACTCTGTAAACTCCAATGTTACACACCATAGAGAGGCATAGAGAGGTTGACAGGTCGCGATGTAGTGACGTCCATGTCACATGGCAATTTCACAAGGTTTGGACAGAAGCTGCAAGGGGCCGATGAGGCGCTGCTGAACCTTAATTCTGTGCATGCAACATTTCGTGTCTAATCTCTCTGAAAACATTTTCAATCGTGCATGTTAATATATAAACTAATTTGATATGTGCGGTTTAACGTCTCAAAACCACCGTACGATTATGAGGGACGCCGTAGTGGAGGGCTCCGGAAATGTCGGCCACCTGGTGTTCTTTAACGTGCACCCAAATCTGAGCACCCGGGCCTACAACATTTCCGTCCCATCGAAAATGCTGCCGCGATTGGATCCCGCGACCTGTGGGTCAGCAGCCGAGTACTCTAGTCACTAGCCCACCGCGGCGGGACATATAAACTAATTTGTTTACACAGGAACTAGAAAAAAATGTTTTGGCCCTTGTCACACACCACTGCAAGAAAGGTGGCAGTAATGTTGACAGGAGTGCTGGCAACACTACGTTTGTTTTGCTACGCTTTTTCTTGCGCCGATTGCCTAACACACTGCAAGTTGTCGGCGAGCTTTTTGAAGTTACGCTACCACGTAGATAACGTTCTTTACGGTACCGGATGAGCACATGTCTCGCGTTCAGTACGCCCCTCCTGCGGACGAGCCACACAACAGTTTCCATGTAGTAGTGCCGACACAACTACCGGCGTCGACGAAGAAGGAAGAAAACCCGCGTCAGCCACTGCTATGAATTTTGGCAGTTTGAAGTATAGAATAAGGAGCACAGTAATAAGGGAACGAGTTGCAGAAAGGAAACGCCGCGGTGGGCGCGAGTAGGATGGCTGGCACGGACTCGGATAAACTTTTTTACACACGTGACGCTTTCGTTTCTGGCGAGGCATGGTGCGGGGAGTACATATTTCCCTTTTGTTGAACGCACGTTGCGAGCGGATTATGCTGTGAAAGAACATTGCATATATCGATTTCTGTGGTGGACGCGGCAGTTCTGCGTTTGCAGTTTTTACCATAGCTACAGATCACTGGCGACGAAAGTATTCCTTTCCGCCGCTAACAAACATCAACGAACTTCCTTTGCGAAAAGCTCAGTAAAAGTTCGAACTTCCGTGACGTAAGGTTAGACTGTGACGTAGGGACAGTATGAAGTTGGGCTCGTCGTTGGTAATCCATAACTGATCACGTAGTGAAAAAACTATTTGACGCAGAGCAAGAAAGGGACAGTGCCCCCCCCCCCCCCCAATCCCTTCCCTTGTCCTGTGTCAATATATTGTTTGCGCTACGTGATCAGTTACCATCACCGCATCTCTGTTATGATAAATAAGAGAGCTAAACAGAGTTCGCGGGTGTCCTTGTAACTTGGGTTTTACTGTGATGGGATTGGTGTCAAATGGCATTTTACAGCAGGGATCACACGTTGGCAACTGCGAGTGTAGTACAGGCACGGTTACACAAACAGTAGCGAAAAACGCGAAATCCCGTCCGAGGTGCCTCTGAGCGTCTAAAGTATTTACAGATCCATGTCATTCGATTTTGCGTAACTATGTACCTTCAGGTGGAGTTCAGGTGGAGCAGTGGTTATACCATCACAAGGGATAACTCGGTGTTTTAAGACTTCACATGTGACAAGTTCGACGACGGCAGAACTCGAGGCTCTGCGCAATGCACTGGAACACATCAATTCAGAAGAAAGACCAGGTAAATGGGCTGTGTTTTCTGACTCAAGACCAGCGTTACAGTGCCTGATATCAGTTCTCCGACGCGGATGCCACGACCAGTTGACCTACCAAACCGTGAAACTTCACCACCTGTTAATACAAAAAGGCCATGACATCGTCTTTCAGTGGTTACCTGGGCATAGTGGTATAGGCGGCAATGATTCTGCAGATCATACTGCTCGCACGTCACATAAAGAAGCGAACAGCGTTCCGATACCGCTTTCAAGAGCGGATGCGGCGAGGCAGATTCGTCAACTGGCCCGCAGTCTCACACTGACTGAGTGGAACACACCAAGCATACGACGTACACGACTGCACGAGCTCGACCCTTCACTACAACTCCGGCCTCCACCCGGCCTACATCGACGTGAAGCTTCGCTTCTCTATCGCCTTTGGCTGGGAGTTGCTTTCATGAAAGCTTATACCACGTTAATCAGAATTACTGACAGTGCGGCGTGCGATGTTTGCGGCACCGACGAAAATATCGAACACCTGCTGTGTCATTGTCCTCGATTTGCCTCAGAGAGACAAGTACTTGCCAACGCAATGCGGCGACTGGATGATCGGCCTCTTTCTGTGCAGGTGCTATTACAGCAACGTACACATGCCTCGACAGCCCACAAGGCAGTGAAAGCCCTGCTGCGTTTCCTGAGAAAGACAGGCTTGTGTGAACGCCTCTGACATGCGGTAGAGTTCTACACGCTGCAGTGAAATTACTGTCAGTCTCTCCCCCACCCCCCTTTTTCCCTCTCTTCCCTCTTTCTCGTCTTTCTTGTCCCCTTCCTTTATCCCCCAGTGTAGGGTAGCCAACCGGATGTTTTTCTGGTTAACCTCCCTGCCTTCTCCCTTTTTGTTGCTTCCTCCTCCTTCCTCCATATACCTTCATAATTTGCTTTTCCCTTTGAATGGGTTTAAATGTTACGGAAGGAGGTGAAGGAAGCAAGTGAAAAAGGTGGTAGCTGCGAAGGAAGACAAGCTTGCGCATGCTCGGATTTCTGGTGGTTTGAGTCGTTCCTTGACTCGCATGTAAGCCACGTTTTATGTGCTGTCGGTACGTGGGTCGCTAGCACACATCTCGGCCTTCGACTAGGGAGCCGTCGTGGGCGCGCATGATTAAATTCTCTCTCATGCATAGTTTTGTCATTTTCATCAGCGATAGGCTTCGAGTTGCCGCACTAGCTTCAGAAGTTTAGCCTACCTGCATACGATTTGGTTGAAAGGCACTTTCACAAAACCTATTCTCAAACGGTGATTTTTTTGAAAATGACAGCAAGAACAAGGCACCATAGAAACGTACTGACATTACAGAAGGTACTGCATGCGAAGAGAGAGAGAGAGAGGTTCACGTGGTTGTAGATGTAAAGTTTTATTATCGTTTTAATATCCGGCTGTAAGTGATGGCTATGCTGAATACCACTGATTGGCTATAAAAACAAGGACTTGTGGCAAAAAAAGCTCATGGAAAGTAACAGGAAGCAGCTTCCTTCTGATATGAAGGATAGCTTCGGCTCCTCGAAAAAAAAAAGTGCCTAACGATTGGCACAAAAATAAGTAATTTGTTTAGACGACTCCGGTTCTGCCGCATATTTCTAGCAATTTTGAAACCAGCAACAATAAAAAAACAAAGTAACTAATTTATTGAGTTTCTTTTCTTCTTGGTGCATATTTCTCACACTACTTTTTCTATAAACTATGATCTGTTTGCGTACTGTCTACTTTAACTTTATTTTTTGGTAAAGCAGTGCACAAAAAGATTAAAAAACACACACGCATAGAGGACGCATACACAAGTGCTGTTAATCTATTCGCGGTTTCTTAACAAGAAGAAGATGTTGCATTCCTAAGACAATTATTTGTCGTTACTCTCCTCTTCATCACTGCTGCCGTTCGAACCACTCGCTTCTTCAGATCCACTCTTCTCGTGAGAACCGTTTTCGCTACTGGATCCATCTTCATCGCTGCCGCCAGTCGAACCACTCGCTTCTTCGGATCCACTCTCCTCGTCAGAACTGTTTTCGCTGTCGGATTCATCTTCATCGCTGCCGCCGGTCGAACCACTTCCTTCTTCAGATCCACTTTCCTCGTTAGAACCGTTTCCGCTATTGGATTCATCTTCATTGCTGCCGCCGGTCGAACCACTCTCTTCTTGGGATCCACTCTTTTCGTCAGAACCGTTTCCGCTATTGGATTTACCTTCATTGCTCCCGCCGTTCGAACCACTCCCTTCTTCAGATCCACTCTCCTCGTCAGAACCGTTTCCGCTATTGGATTTACCTTCATCGCTCCCGCCGTTCGAAACACTCCCTTCTTCAGATCCACTCTCCTCGTCAGAACCGTTTCCGCTATTGGATTTATCTTCATCGCTCCCGCCGCTCGAACCACTCTCTTTTTCGGATGCACTCTCCTCATCAGAACCGTTTTCACTATTGGATTCATCTTCATTGCTGCCGCCATTTGAACCACTCTCTTTTTCGGATGCACTCTCCTCATCAGAACCGTTTTCACTATTGGATTCATCTTCATTGCTGCCACCATTCGAACTGCTCTCTTCTTGGGATCCACTCTCCTCGTCAGAACCGTTTTCGCTATTGGATCTATCTTCATCGCTCCTGCCGTTCGAACCACTCCCTTTTTCAGATCCACTCTCCTCGTCAGAACCGTTTCCGCTATTGGATTTATCTTCATCGCTCCCGCCGCTCGAACCACTCGCTTCTTCGGATCCACTCTCCTCGTCAGAACTGTTTTCGCTGTCGGATTCATCTTCATCGCTGCCGCCGGTCGAGCCACTTCCTTCTTCAGATCCACTTTCCTCATTAGAACCGTTTCCGCTATTGGATTCATCTTCATTGCTGCCGCCGGTTGAACCACTCTCTTCTTGGGATCCACTCTTTTCGTCAGAACCGTTTCCGCTATTGGATTTACCTTCATTGCTCCCGCCGTTCGAACCACTCTCTTCTTCAGATCCACTCTCCTCGTCAGAACCGTTTCCGCTATTGGATTTACCTTCATTGCTGCCGCCATTTGAACCACTCTCCTCGTCAGATCCACTCTCATTGCCAGAACTGTTTTCATTATTGGATTCATCTTCATTGCTGCCGCCATTCGAACTGCTCTCTTCTTGGGATCCACTCTCCTCGTCAGAACCGTTTTCGCTATTGGATCTATCTTCATCGCTCTTGCCGTTCGAACCACTCCCTTTTTCAGATCCATTCTCCTCGTCAGAACCGTTTCCGCTATTGGATTTATCTTCATCGCTCCCGCCGCTCGAACCACTCTCTTCTTTGGATCCACTCTCCTCGTCAGAACCGTTTTCGCTATTGGATTCATCTTCATCGCTGCCGCCGGCTGAACCACTCTCTTCCTCGGACGCACTATCCTCGTCAGAACCGTTTTCGCTATCGGATTCATCTTCATCGCTACCACCGGCCGAACCACTTTCTTCTTTGTATGCATTGACCTGTGCTAAGTTTTTCTTTTCGCTGGATATTCGCTTAGTGTCATATTCTGCTTTGTAATCACTCTTTTCATTCAATACACTGTCATTGTCCAAGCGGTTTTGATCTTCTTGAGCACTATCAGCACGTTTTTCAATCAGACTTGTTGGATGTTGTCCATTAGAAAGATTCGTATTTTCATCTTCGTGGTTATTTGATATGTACCAAGATGGTGCTCCGCATGTAAATCTGGATAAGAAAGTGACAACTTAAATTAGAATTTGTATATAAAAGATGAATAGCCTAATGTGTGAGAATGAAATTTCCGCATGTGTTTTGAGAGAAAATTTGGACGCGTGTCACTTATTGGACGTGAAGTTTCGTTGTGTCATAAACTTATGTATAACTTAAGACAGCTGAGGTGGTGCAAAGTTTACCTGACTCTTTTATATTCATTTGGCAATTGTCATGTTAAAAAAGAGCTGAATTGTAATTCCGTGACTGTGAATGCACTATCCTTCATTTCGGTTCTTTTTGGTGGGATCGCTCGTGCACACACAAGCTCAAGTTCCACCGCTAAGCGCTTTTAACTAACGCAGTTCGAACGTCGTCAATAATAGGTGACTGCTCTGTGGCCACTTAGATTTGTCACTATCGTAGAAGTCGAACCCTTTTGTATGTGAAGTTAAGCAGCCGAGTTCACGTATTAGCTGACGCGTTCTTAAAAAAAAAAAGGAATTCGCAAACCTTTCCTGAATAACTATTAAATGGCTTTTTTGAAAGAGCTTACTGACTCATAAATTGACTACCGCAAAAACATTTTGAATCATTGCAGTATGGGCGAAGTTACGGGATTTGTCACCCGCTACAAGTGCTTTATCTCCTTCGTACCAGCGAGCGTGCCGAAAACTGCACGAGGCGGGGGGTGGATGAGATGACAAGGAGAGGAGGTACGCCCGTTCACCAACAAGCGTCATGACCTTGAGAATTTTTCTGTTTTTCTTTCTTCAAACGCGAAGCTTGATGTCGCTGTGATCGCGAGCTGACGCCTGGGCACACGGCGGCATACCGCGGCGGTCGCGGTAACTGTGCAGCTCGGAATGCTCATACCGAACCCCGGTCCTAGACTGGGTTTATGGTGCGGTCATTTGGCTTCATGGCATCATTTGCCGCAAGAAGAGGGAGGGAATGATTACTGAGTAACTGCGAATAAATTGTTGATTCCCGTCCGAGTGAATATTGCGCTCACTGTACTCCGAGCTTCGATACTAACACACTAACGTCATCCATCCGTATTCATTAAACTCAACAGTGTTATCCCAAGTGGATTCTTACCGATACCTGGGCGTTGTAATTACAAGCAGACTAACCTGGACTGAGCATATTACCAAACTAGCTGCCGATGCCTCAAAAACTCTTGGCTATCTTAGGAGATCATTGTCATTATCACCTGCAAGCCTTCGCAAATTGGCCTTTGAAACTTTTGTTCGTACTAAAATGGAATACGCATCTGCAATTTGGAGCCCTCATCAGATATACCTAATTAACATTCTTGAATCCGTCCAAAATCGTGCCGCCAGATTCATCTCCGCAAATTACGACAAACGAGCAAGCATCAGTCAAATCAAATCATCCCTCGGTCTCCGTGTTTTGTCAGCTCGACGCAAAATTTCACGTCTCTGTCTTTTTCACAAACTTTACTACAGCTTTCCTCACCTACATGGCTCACTTTTACTTCCGCCTGTCCGAACATCTCGTCGCCTATTTAATTCCCCGAGTATCCAACGTCTGTTTGGTTCTACTAACGCTTTTAATAAATCATTTCTTCCTACGGCTATTGATGAGTGGAACAGTTTAACGGATGCTATTGTCAGCGAACAAGATGCTGTTAAATTTAGAGATTTATTACTAGCTACCCTTGACTCTTAATCGCTGTTTGTCTTTCTTTGTTGTTTGTTCTCTGCCGCCTGTATATTTTGGACCGCGAATTGACTGTTGAATATTTCGTTTGACATGCTCTGTTTTCTTTTTATTTTTTGGTACTACCTGTATGTTTTAGTAATTCAAAAACTGTAACCATGAACTGCATTTTCATTGAAATTTGTACTTGGATTGTTCCCCCCCCCCCCTTATGTAATGCCCCGAGAGAGGCCCTTAAGGGTATAATAAATGATGATGATGATACTGCTAGGCAGCGTTTTTTTTACTTTGCTCAAACTTTGTCGCAGGGCCATTTTATTGTGAGAGTGCGGTCATGCAATGTCATTAAAGTTTTATGAAGTTCTTTGGTCTACCTTGAAAAACATTACTGTGATGTACAATGTGACGACAGAAAATAGCGCAAAGAAATGGGGACACAAGACGAGGACACACGACGTGGGTCCTCGTCTTGTGTCCCCGTTTCTTTGCGCTATTTTCTGTCGTCACAATGCACCAACAAGCCCAAATTTCGACAGTGTTGTGATGTACAAATATAAAAAAGAGATATATAATGAAAGCACACTGTCTTGTAATGACAAATTGTTGAAATCCAATCGGTAAACAGTTAGCAGCTGCCACTCGCCATGTTGCTGTATTGGTTGCGGTGCTCGACTGATCACCCAAAGAAAGTGGCGTAGCCAGGGGGTGACTCACCTAATCCATGCTCCAACCCCCCCCCCCCCCCAAAAAAAAAGAAGAAAGGCTGCCTATGCCCCTGCCCGATTTCGAAGCATTTTAATGGAGGCAAAGTGATAGAGCTCTGTGTACTATCATTTGGGATGACGTTAAGAACACCAGATGATTGAAACCTCCGGAGTCCTCCACTATTGTGTCTTTCATAATCATACCGCAGTTTTAGGACGTAAAACGCCAAAAATTATTGGCAGCAAGCGCCCTGTGACCCTGGCATCAGAAGCGTAGCAGATTCCAAGTTTTGATCCCTAACATATCCCAACCTAACATGCCTCTCACAACCATGCAGGTAGCAATTATTCCCGTCTTGATGGCAATGAAATGGAATCAGATTCACGCTGCTGACTGGACGCAACGTGAAATCCGTAGGGAATGCGGAGCAGTGATTCGTCTGTCGGTCGGTGACGAACTAAGGGAGCGTGTGTTGGAGGACCAGTTGGTAAGACATTATTATATGAACCCAAAAATGCACTTTGTACGAGATATTCAAGTGGAAAAAAGACAGGACGAACGTAGCTTGTGAGTGTAGCTGAAGGGTTTGCGTTTTGTCAGCGACGTTACCTCTCATTCACGAGCAAGAGCGCATTGACGTTTTTATCCCGCAGCCTACTGAGCCTCCTTGGAGGGAAAGGGTGGTGGTGATGGTAGTGGTTAGAAGATGAGAAAAGGCACCCAATTTCTGCAACCCGGTCGGGAGCATGGCGCAGTGCGTAGGAAAGGAAACCCTCATGTGTAGTTTACTGGCACCCCCCTCCTCTTCCTCCCTCTCGTATAACTTCTTCTCTCCCTCATTTCCCGTTCCCGTCCGATTGCTATACTATACTTTGCGTGGCTACGCTGTGCTCCATCATGTTCCCTCCTCCGCACTCTCGATTTCCCGCACCCTTACTATATCATATCAAAGGGGCGTATGACAACGTTACGCTTGAAGCTGTTCTCATTGCTCTCAAAGATGTAGGAGTAGGTGGTAGGATGTATCGCTGGATACGTAGTCGTTTGTCAATGCGATCCTTCTTTGTGAGCACTGAAGGCGGTCAAACCTCTCCACATTACAGCCACCGTGGCGTCCCTCAGGGTGGTGTACTGAACCCTGTGCTGTTCAATCTGACGCTAAATGCTCTCACTGAGCATCTGCCAAGCACAGTCAAACTATCAATGTACGCAGATGATATCTGCGTTTGGGCATCGGCTGTAACACGCCTGCAGTTGCGAGGGAGAATTCAAAAAGCTGCCATTCAAACATTACGTCACCTCCGAAATCGAGGCTTGGAAATTTCTTCCGAGAAATGCGCCCTAGTAGCTTTTACATGAAAGCCTATGGATAAGTACACCATAATCATCAATGGTCAAACTGTACCATACATTCCATCGCACAAGTTTTCGGGCGTCATAATTGACAAGAATCTATCATGGAGCGATCGCGTTTCGTACATGAAAAAGCGGTCAATAGACATCTGTTATATACTGAAGTTCTTTGCAAAGAAGACTTAGGGAATGTCTCCCAGTGCAATGCTACAGCTGTACAGGGAACTTTTCCTCGGTTTCCTGCGGTACAGCTTACCGGCATTGACCAATGCAAGAAAAACAAGCCTACGAACGTTACAGAGTGTTCAGTCCCAGGCACTCCGGATTTGCCTCGGCTTGCCTCGTAGTGCATCGACAATGGCCACTATAGCAATCGCCGGTGACCACTTCATCACGACACATATCGACGTTCAGGCACTCAGGACACATATTAGGCATATCGCTCGGACGCCCTGCCACCACCTAGCCTCTTTACCAGCAGACAGCCAACGTTCGTTATTTTGCCAAACGATAACCACATATCGTGATTCTTCGCCAACATGCTTCACACCCGCCGCCAGGCCTTCGACTCCTCCTTGGTGCCTGACTCAGGCTAAGATTAAGGTAACTACACCTGGCATCCAGAAGAAAACAGATATGTCGTCAAATTGCTCTTAGGCAGCTTGCACTGCTCTTGTTATACTAGACTTATCAGGGCTATATACACGTATACACCGACGACATTGTTTTACAGAAGAGTTCAACGGCATCATTTGTTATACCAATAAAAGACACGACAAGCAAATCCAAGACCTCCAACCTTACGACATCGACGGGAGCAGAGCTCACAGCTCTTCGTGCCGTATTGCAATTTATCAGCGATCAGCAGCCACAAAAATGGACAATTTTCAGTGACTCAAAGGCGGCACTGCAATCCCTTCTATTACCTTTATGCCACGGCCCGTACAAACAGCTGGTATTCGAGATTGCAGAAAAGACTCACAATTTCATTGAAAAGGGACATGAAATAATGTGGAAATATATGAACGCACAAGGTAGAAGGAAAAGCATTTGACAGGAGTGCTTAACATGCATATACAGGGCCAATTTTTCTTATCCGGTCCCTTGATATAGATATGACCGCGGTATACGTTGCTTTGCCAGTGTTGCACCAATCGACATGAGGCAGTTACGAAGAATACGACAGATTACGACAGCCCGGGCCCCTAAAGCGCTCCGCGCTTCAAGTTGGAAATGATACATCACACTACAGGCTGTGCCTCTCTAATGGG